TCTCGGTGTGTGTGTCTCTCGGTGTGTGTGTCTCTCGGTGTGTGTGTGTGTGTGTGTGTAAAACAGGGGACTGTGTTCTAGCACTGACTGTATATATGAAGAGGGAGGGTGGCCCTGGATCATTTACGTTTTGACATTTTAAATCATGCCTCCATTCATATATTGGACACTGCATCCAAGTCTCTTACCCACGTCCAGGATGTCCAGAGAGAGGATGTCAGAAGCTGCAGTCCCCAGTTTGTTTGATGCCTCAACCCAGATTTCATACGGAGTGAAGAGGGCAAGATCCTTGGGAATGTAGCAAGAGTTTGGTCCAGCTCTGGCCATCTCCTGGCACTCGTTCTCCTTACCGTACCAGCTGAGGACAGCAACGTCAGAAACTTTATAATCATGGAGTCGTAGGCGTAGCTCCTGACTCAATAATAATATGAAATATGTGGCATTGACTTGGTAACACAAATCACAAGACACCATTTACATTTCCACCAATTTCATCATTGCCCATTTTGTACCATTGCACAAAATCAAGATTACTGCATATAGCCCATTGAGTTAAATCTCAGGATCTCAGACTTGTTATAGCGATGAAGGATGCACTTGTTCTCCAATGAGATTTTCACAGTGCCGGTCTCCCGCCTCTTCCCCACACCCTTGTACACTGTTTCTATTCAAATAATCATCCAATGACCTTTTGAATGCCTCAACTCACTTTGTTTCCAGCACATTTAATCTTGTCTCCAAGGAGAATAGTCCTAACTTCTTCAATCTATCTCATCACTGAAGTTCCTCATCCCTGGATTCATTTTTCTAAATCTCTTCTGCATTCTTTCCAATACATTCACATTCTTCCTCTTGTGTGGTACACCCCAGAACTGTACATAACACCTCAGCTAAGGTCTTACAAGTGTCTTGTATAAGTTCATCATAACCTCTTTGTTCTTGTACTCTACATCACCATTAATAAAGCTGAGAACACTGTTATACGAACTGCTCTCCAACTCTCCTGCTACGTTTAATGATCAGTGCACCTATACACCCAGGTCTCTCTGCTCCTGCACCCTGTTACACATTGTACCCTTTGTTTAATTTTGTCCGTTTTTCCTTTCAAAATGCATCACCTTACACTTCTCTGCTTTGAACTTCATCTGCCACCTATCTGCCCACTTCACCAACTTATCACTGCCCATTTGGAGTTCTTTACTGTCCTCCGCACAGCCTACAATGCTTCCAAGTTTCAGATTTATCTTCAAATTTGAAATTGCCTTCTGCACACCATATCCAGATCATTAATATATATCAGGGAAAACAGGAGTCCCAATATCAACCACTGGGGCAATTCATTACAATGCATCCTCCAGCCTGAAAACTATTCATTGATTACTTGTGTCGATATCATCTCCCTCAGCCAGTTGTGTATCTGTGTTGCCACTGTACTTTTTATTCCATGAGCTATTTTTCTCACAAGCCAGTTGTGTGGCATTGTATCTAATGCTTTTTGAAAGTCCATGGCCACCCAACAACAGCATTGCCTTAGTGACCATTTCTGTTGCCTCTTTAAACAGCTCCAACTATTCAAAGATAACAAGGTGTAGAGCTGGATGAACACAGCAGGCCAAGCAGCATCAGAGGAGCAGGAAAGCTGATGTTTCAGGTCGAGACCCTGAAGAAGGGTCTCAACCTGAAACGTCAGCTTTCCTGCCCCTCTAATGCCGCTTGGCCTGCTGTGTTTATCCAGCTCTACACCTTGTTATCTCAGATTCTCCAGCATCAGCAGTTCCTACTATCTCTCCAACTATTCAAATACCATTTTCTCTGTGCTAACCGTCACTCAAATAGTCCCACTCTGTCTCCTTTCCCACTATCTCCCCAGACAGTGGAAAAAAGTGCTCTCCACTTATGAAGATACATTCTTTCAGAATTCCTAAAAGAAAATTCCATCACATTACCCCATAACCCTCTCTACATGGAACATAAACCTAGTTTATGTCATCTCATCTTGTAATATACCCTTCGTGTCATATCTGCACCACATTCCTTTCACGGCCAGTACTGTTTACCTTTCAAAGGTGTAATGTCATCGAGTCATACAGTCATACAGCACGGAAACAGATCCTTTGGTCCAATCAGTCCATGCTGATCATAATCCCAAACTAAACTAGTCCCACCTGCCTGTGCTTGGCCCATATACTTCCAACCATCTCCTATTCGTGTCCTTATCCAAATGTCTTTTAACTGTACCCAGATCCACCACTTCCTCTGGCAGTTCAGTCCCCACAATTGGTCACAGTCACCTCAGGTGTTGTCTAACTTATATATGACTCCATCAGTGATCAGTGTGCATGGACACCTACATTTCTGTAGGCATCCACTGTTCCTAAATATTCAGCATTTAAATAACACTCAGGTGTAACCCTTGTTTGGTCCATATTGAATGATCTCACACTTTCCTGTGTTGAAATTCATCTGCTGCAGTTTTATCCACTGATTTCATCTGTCGATGTCTCTTGTAATTATGCATCTACATTCCTCATTATTTCGCCAATCTTTCTATCACTGACAAATTAGATAAATGGCTGTTACTTTCTACTAATCATTAAAATATGTTAAATTGAGTCTGTTCAGTCTGGGTCCTTTGATCTGGGTGTTAACCAACAAAGCAGCAGGACTCCCACCTGTACTGCCTTACCGTAACTTGTACTTCAGTGTATAGTTGGTATGAAGAAAGGATTCACCCTCACCCCCTGGGGTCCATTTACAGGTGAGATCCTTGGTATTCTTTGACCAGCAGGTAATGTTGGTAGGTTTTTCAGGGGGAACTATATGAAAGAGAGAGAGAGTAAAGGAAGAACAAAATTTCAAACATTCAACAGAGTGAGAGGTTTATTTGCTGAAAGGTTTCTTATCCCGAGTTCACAATTATGCCCAGGGAACACCTACTGATTTGGTCCCATCTTATTGTTCAGAAGTAGTCAGCTTCCAATGGAATGACTGAATCCTTTGAAAAGGTTTAAGGCAAGTACTAGGACTTGTCTGTATAGTCTCATGATCCTGCTCAGTCAGATCAGGCTGATATTCTACATCAACTCTATTCTCATAGCCTATCCCATTCCCTTGGAACCCAAAAATCTGTCAACCACAGTGTTGAATCTACTCAATCATGGAGCATCCATACCTCCCTGGGATTTGTAACCCAATTTCTCCCCATTTCAATCTGAAATGGTTAACCCCTCCCCCTGAGATGAAGGCTCCTGCTCTCAAGCAGGAAGGACTGTTGGACAGAAAAGAAACATCCATTTGGGCCGAAGAAGACTCTGTTCGCATTTCATTTGGTAATGCAGAGAATGGATGAGTTGAACAACAGGAGAAGGGGGGAGGGGGGATGTGGTTCTTGTGACATTAACCGTAAATCCAACAAAATCTGTCCACTTTCAGCAGTAGTCAGCCATTGCCAGAAAGATGAGAGCGAACTTGTGAGTAAATATTAAACCACGATGGAAGCAGAAGCAGCAGGCGCATTGGAGAGCGCACACTTAGCAACAAACCTGGGCGAAACCTTCAAAGTAGAATGAATCACAAATCCCAACTAAATAGTGTCTCAACACTATTTTTAGATATTTTCTAACAGGCAGTTCAGAGGTGCTATAACACATCTCTGGAGCAGGTGGGACTTGAATCCTGGCGTCCTGCTCCAGAGATAGGGATACTACTACTGCACCACAAGGGTCCTCTTCAAAACTATTTTTAAATTCAAATAGTTTAATTGGGCAGAAGACAAGCTGAGCTTCCAATGAGTAGCAGCAAGGTTCCTCCAGGAGGCGGAATGTGTGTCTGGAGCAGTAATGGGTGAGGAATAGGACAGTCATGTTGGGGCTGTTTCTCAAAACCTTTCAGACTGTGTTATATTGTCTTATAACTTGGTTTGCTTTATTTCATTTTCTGTAAAAAATTTCTGCTTTGTCATTGAAACCAAATCTGCAGCATTGTGTGCTAATGTTTCAGTGAAGAACCACCACATTAAATTAGAAAGAAAACAGAATGTAATGTAAAAAAAAGACACAAAGGTACACACACACACACACACACACACACACACACACACACACACACACAGTGTAGCGGACAGTGAAAGAAGGTTATCTAAAAATAATACGGGAACTGAATCATCTGGACTAGTAGGTCAAGGAATGTCAGGTAGATTTTAATTTAGATAAATGTGAGGTGTTGCATTTTGGTAAGACAAACCAGGACAGGACTTACACAGTTAAGGTAGGGCCCTTGGGAGAGTTGTCGAACAGAGAGATCTAGGGATGCGGGTACTTAGTTCCTTGAAAGTGGCATCACAGGTAGACAGGGTGGTGAAGAAGATACTTGGCAAGCTTGCCTTCATCGGTCAGAGCATTGAGTACTCTATGACTCGATAGAGACACACACACACTCGCACACTTGCAGATACATACAGAGACATGCAGGCATATATGCAGATAGATGCTCACATGGACATTCACATGCGGATACACATGCACAACAACAATTTGCACTTATAAAACACCGTTAATGTAGTCAGACGCCCACTATGCTTCACAGGAACAAATATCAAACACAATTTAACACTGAATCGTAAGGAGATTCAGTGTTACGACAGGTGACAAGAAGCTTGGTCAGAGGTAGGAGAGAGAAAGGTGGAGACACTTAGACAGAACATTCCTGAACGTGGGACCTAGGCAACTGATGGTCAGCCAATAAGGTGGAATGATTAAAATGGAGGTTGCGTAAGAGGCCAGAGGCATGCAGGCATCTTGGAGGGTGCTGGGTCTGGAGAAGATTACAGAGATTGAGTTGGCAGTGAGTCACAGAGGAATTGGAAAACAAGGATAAGAATTTTAAAACTGAGGCATTGCCAGACTGAGAGCCAATATAGGCCAATGAGTACAGCTGGCAGGTGAGGGAAGAACAGAACCTGGTGTGACAGGGCTGCAGAGTTCTGGATGAGCTGACTTTAATAAAGGGTGCAAGGGGGACGTTGGACAGTTCAAATCATCAAGTCTAGTGGTAACAAAGGTCTGGATGAGGGGTTTGAGCTGTACATGATGTGATGTTGGTCTGGGCAAGCTGGGCCAAAGGGTCTGTTTCGGTGCTGTATGACTTTGTAAGGTAGAAACAGGTAGTCATTGCTAGGGGAGGACTTGTAACCAAATGGCACAAGGCACAAGTCAGGAGTGTGATGAAATACTCCCATTTGCCTGGATGAGTGCAGCTCCAACAACACTCAAGAAGCTGGACACCATCCAGGACAAAGCAGCCACTTGATTGGCATCGCATTAACAAGAATCCACTCCCACCACTATGGAAGCTCAGTAGCAGCAGTGTGTTCTATCTACAAGATGCATTGCAGAAATTCACCAAAGATCCTCAGATAGCACCTTCCAAACCCACAAACACTTCCATCTAGAAGGACAAGGGCAGCACCTACAAGATCCCCTCCAAGCTGCTCACTATCCTGAATTGGAAATATATTGCCGTTCCTTTCAAAATCCTGGAATTCCCTCCCTAATAGCATTGTGGGTCAACCCACAGCAGGTGGACTGCATTGGTTCAAGAAGGCAGCTCACCCACACCTTCTCAAGGGGCAACTAGGGGCAGGCAAGAAATGCTGGACCAGCCAGTTGACGCCCACCTCCCAAGAGTGAATTTTACAAAAAGCTTAGTTGTTGCATACTGATCAGCAAGAACTCACATGTGTACACTCATAGCTAGGTGTCAATATGTGTTCACTGCACAGTGGTGCACACTCAGACTGGCTCCTGGTGCCAACAGAGATTAGGTGTAAGAGTAACTTACAGCCCACATAGAGACATGAGCCAGCCAGAACCCTGTTGTCGCTACGGTGACACAACAGGTTATCACCAGATTGTTGCCGTGAGCCGTTCAGGCCATGAAGTGTCACCTTCAGTGCGCTGTTATTCACTGGATTGTACAAGTCTGCAGGAAGCCTCTCGCCATTCAGTGTCCAGTACAGACCCTGGGCGTCCTCGTTAGCCTCAGAGTTCACAATACACATGGCAGTCAGTGATGACCCAATGGTCAGAATAGGGTCCTGAGGCACAACCACAGCCAACGCTGCAAAGGAAGCAAACAGAAAGAGCCACATCAAACATTTAAACAGCAAACAAAAAATAGAACTTGCCTTCCCCACAATCCTTCCCCTTAAAATTGAGGTAACTCATGACTTCAACTTGTGCCAAAGTATTTTACAGCCAATGAATTGCTTTGGCCACGTGGTCACTGTTGGAATGTTGGAAATGCAGCAGTCACGTTGTACGCAACAGCTCCCATAAACAACCACGTGAGAATGAGCTGGTACCTGTTTCTGAGGGATATATATTGGCATCAAAAACAGAAGTTGCTGGAATAGCTCAGCAGGTCTGGCAGCATCTGTGAAGAAAGTTAACGTTTCGGGTCTGGTGACCCTTCCTCAGAATTCCTTTGCAGCAACTTCGGTTTTTGTTACTGATTTATACCATCCGCTGTTCTTTTGGTTTATATATATATTGACCTCTTGCTCTTCTGTGAATATTGATACATTACATCCAAACAGCAGCAGCAAGACCATTCAATCAAGTCTAACTTCAAGACCAGCATTTCAGACAGTGCAGCGCTCCCTCAGACAGTGCAGCGCTCCCTCAGACA